GGGCATCACCACTATGTACAACATAGCGGAATATTGCTTGTATCATAGTCACTGCTTAGCTCAGTCTCTGCCCTGGAGGGGAGCTTGGGTGATATACGTTGCATCAAAACTGCCTTGTTCAGAGCCCTGAGAAGACAGAAGTCATGTTGCTGGATACAGCTCATCAGCATGGGGGGGCATCTTTCTTACTTTGTGCTCCTGTTTATTCAGAGGACAAACTTAGAAGTGGCGAGACAGGTTAAGAACCTTGGCATTGTTTCTCACCAAGCCCGTTCCATGGAAGCCACATCTTGTCCATAGCATATAAGTACCTTATTCTACCACGCTCCTCAGATGTGCAGAATAATCACGACGGCAACATTCTAACTGAGGTTCAAAAGCATTTGGTGAGATTTTGCTTTTTAGTCCTGTGCACTGAAGGAAGACGAGACCCCTTAGAGCAGCAATCCCAGCCTACCTCAAAAGCTTTGTTGTTGTAGAATCTGTCATCTAGTTTAGCCCCCCATTCTGCTGGGTCAAACTTGGTTTCTGAAAATAAATACCAACATTTATCATATCAATGTCAAGCTACTAATTAAGTCAGGAAGTTCCCCAGTCAAGTTGCACTCACTCAGCGGGCTCATTGCAGCAGGATGACAGAAGAATGAAGATGATAGATTGAAAATAGAGGCAGCCTTGGCTGTGAGAAAAAGAAATGCTATTTTCTACACTGCCACTAGGATAGGGTAAAGGCCATGCCGGTTAAGGAATATCATGCAACCATGGTTCTAGGAACAGTCCCATGACAGCAGGGGAGCAAAAAGCCACTGTAGCATCTAACATCTAGGGACAGAGCCACAATTAAAGCCACACAGGAGACTCAACAGGCTGGCAAGGCTGTGATCAGATAGGTGTGTGCATGGCATGCAGCAGCTTGAACAATTCACTAGTGCCTGTCATGGCCATGCTTCCTCTCACAAGGAAATGCGAGGTGACCCAAGAAAATGGCATCACTGCACGTCCAAGTGGGACCAACATGCCCAGGAACAGCTATACCTGCAGCAGCAAGCCAATTAATCTCAGGGCCAGTGGGGGACCCTCATCCCAAGTTCATGGGGATCTCCTTACAGCCCTGAGGTGTGGATCTGACCTCCCAAATGGGAGGAGGAAGTTGATTACCTTACACTGAGGGATGTGCATTCCCTGCTGTCAAGCTTTTCTTGTGCAATAACCACACAAAAACCTCTTACCCCTGTATTGTAATTTATTCTACATTAAAAAACTATTAGGTGGAAACCATAGTGAGACTGAGTAGTTTTGAGCCTGAATGTTCATCATCCCATAACCCAACATATTCAGAAAATTAGATTGCTTCCTCAAGCCTACCATTTTCTAAAGGGTTACAGAGAACGTCAGTTATAAGCTAATGAGTTAAGAAAGGCTGTGTAGCAGGAAGAAAAAGGAATTATGAAGGAGGGAGAGAAATACAACAAGCTTTAAATGGGAAAATGCAATAAAGAAAATGGGTTCAGAGATCTATGATGCACAAAGAGTAGGGAAACCTATGAAACAGTCATTCACATTTGTGTAGTAATTAATATTAACAGCCATTAAGGGAGCCATGTCATCCATAGGGAGATCTGACATTCCTTCCAGCTAAGAGCAATATGTACACACAGAAGAGGAGATACAAATACAGCAGTTCTCAATGACATTACCAACTCAGAGAACCTTGTCATTTTAGCACTGTAACACCCATTAGGAAGGAATTTTTAAATCTCCATTTTAGGAACTGGGAAAACAGAGATGTTGAACTTAAGTACCCCAAGTCACACAGTGAGAATAGAATTCAATTCTCTGGACTCAGCCCTGTGCTAGAACTTTCTTTTATAAGCAAAATTCCTCATTTACTTTACACTCACTTTCTCTTTTATCCAGCAGCTCTTCAAAATAGTTGGCTGCAAAGGCTGGTATATCTTCAGGCTGCTCCCTCAAAACTTCTCTGGCTAGTCCTTCTAGCAGATTTGCAAATCCCGGTGGAATGCGGTGATGGGTGTTTGAGAATGGTATAGACATGGTGTCGGAACAGGCCTTCTATGGCACCTGCAGTTCCATTTGAAGAGCATGGGCTAGTTACTTCTCGCCTGGGTCCAGCATTCATAATTCGTTGCTATTTGCTCAAATACAATTTAGTGTTCAGAGAGCTAGCAAATGGTGTAGTTAAGGTTATGGAAATCACACCTCCCCCAGCGTATGCCCCTCAATAAAGTGTGAATATGAATGCCCACACAGGCTCTTTATTTCTAACGTTATTAAACACAGGCAGTTTATTTTTTTACCCTCTTAAAAATAACAATTTTGGGGGTTTAAATTTGTAGAACTCACCATTATGCTCACGACTTTAATTACCAGGCAAGTCAGGGAATGAAGGAGTTAAGGTATCAGTTCAATCTCATTGCATATACATATTTTCAGACATGCTAGATTCTGCTTTCCCTTTTCACAGGCACAATTTGTATTTGCAGTGGGACTGTAGGAGCAAAGCTGATTTTTAACCTCTAATTACCGAATTAGCACAGTCAGGCAGCTGGATGTATAAGTACTCAGCGTTGCATTTAACGGTGCAAATTCTGTGGGTGCAATTTGTGCCTGCACAACAAATCCTGCATCTTGGCAAGGGGCTAGAGTAGATGACCCTTGCGATCCCTCCTAACCCTATGGCCGCAGGAGGAGTCTATGAGTGTGGCCACCCTTCAGAAAGTGCACCCAGACTAGCTGGAAGGCAGAAGTGGGTCCGTGCCAGCACCTCCCACTCTCTTCCTTTCGGGAAACGGGGTTTCAGTTCAGGCAGCTGGATCAGGTTTCCCAACTGGGCTAGCAGGGGGAGCTGGTTCTGAGCAGGTCATGGAGCTGCTCTTCGTAGCCGAGTGCCTCTGGGGTAGCTGCCTGCGGGCATGGGGCCTACGGCTCCCAGATTTCCAGCCAGCTTCAGGCAGCCGCAGTGGAGCCCTTTTAGCAGTGATGCTGTGGCTGGCAAAGGGCAGGGAGCCCCAGGGAGAAGAGGAGAAAGTTCCTGCCAGGAAGGTGCTGGCTGCACCCAGCGCGAAGTGTGTGTGTGGGGAGTCCTGGGGTCCCCAGCTGCACCCCACGCCCGGCCCGGTGTGTGTGGGGGGGAGGAGTCCTGGGGTCCCCAGCTGCACCCCACGCCCGGCCCGGTGGGGGGGGGGGGGCCCGGGGGGCCCCGCCCCCCCCGGGGGGGGGGGAGGGCGGGGCCGCGCACCCCACGCCCGCGGGTGTGGGGGGAGGAGTCCGGGGGGGTCCCGAGCTGCACCCCACGCCCGGCCCGGTGTGTGTGGGGGGGGGTCCGGGGGGTCCCGAGCCACCCCCCCGGGGGGGGGGGGCGGGGGGGGGGGGGAGGAGTCCCGGGGGTCCCGAGCTGCACCCCACGCCCGGCCCGGTGTGTGTGGGGGGGAGGAGTCCCGGGGGGGTCCCGAGCTGCACCCCACGCCCGGCCCGGTGTGTGTGGGGGGAGCCGGGGGCCGGGGGGGGGGGGGGCCCGGGGGGGGGGGGGGGCCGGGGGGGGGGGCCCCAGCGCACCCCAGCCCGGCCCGGTGTGTGGGGGGAGGAGTCCCGGGGGGTCCCGAGCTGCACCCACGCCCGCCGGGGGGGGGGGGGGGGCCGAGCTGCACCCCACGCCCGCCCGGGGGGGGAGGAGTCCCGGGGGTCCCAGCCCCACGCCCGCCCGGGGGGGCAGCGCCAGGGGGGGGGGGGGGGCGGGGGGTCCCGAGCGCACCCCCGCCCGGCCCGGGGGGGGGGTCGGGGGGTCCCGGGCTCACCCCACGCCCGGCCCGGTGTGTGTGGGGGGGAGGAGTCCCGGGGGGGTCCCGAGCTGCACCCCACGCCCGGCCCGGTGTGTGTGTGGGGGGAGGAGTCCCGGGGGGGTCCCCAGCTGCACCCCACGCCCGGCCCGGTGGGGGAGGAGGAGTCCCGGGGGGGTCCCCAGCTGCATCCCACGCCCGGCCCGGTGTGTGTGGGGGGAGGAGTCCCGGGGGGGGGGTCCCGAGCTGCACCCCACGCCCGGCCCGGTGTGTGTGGGGGGGAGGAGTCCGGGGGGGGTCCCCAGCTGCACCCCACGCCCGGCCCGGTGGGTGGGGGGGGAGGCCGGTGGGGGGGCCCGGCCCGGGTCACTAACGGCCGCGGCCCCCGGGCGGGCTCTTACCCCTCCGCCGCTGCGCTCGGCCGCTTCGTGGACGCTCCTGTTGCCTGGCAACAAGACCCCGCCCCTCCCGCCGGCTTGGGCGGGTGCCGGGAAGGGACAAACGCGAAGCATCACCCTGGCCCCGCCCATCTCCCTGTAGGCTCCGCCCCCGGCCCCAGCTGGGGCCCGCTTTGCCCGTGCCGGGCCGTGGGCAGTGGAGAGCCCCGGGGGCGCCCGGCTGCAGTGACCCACCCGGGCGGGGGAGCGCGTTTGGCTCCCGCTCGGAGCATGAGGCCTCGGCCCAGAACCAGCCAGGCAGGGCCCGAGCCCGGGCTCCAGCCTCTGTCCAGGAGCGGCGCGCCCCCGCCCCGGCTCCCTCCCGCGGGCACGAGCCGCCCGCCCGCTCCCGCCCCCTGCTCCCTCCCGCGGGCACGAGCCGCCCGCTCCCGCCCCCTGCTCGGCTCCCTCCCGCGGGCACGAGCCGCCCGCCCGCTCCCGCCCCCTGCTCCCTCCCGCGGGCACGAGCCGCCCGCCCCCGCGTCGCCCCCTGCTCGGCTCCCTCCCGCGGGCACGAGCCGCCCGCCCGCTCCCGCCCCCTCCCGCGGGCACGAGCCGCCCGCCCGCTCCCGCCCCCTGCTCCCTCCCGCGGGCACGAGCCGCCCGCTCCCGCCCCCTGCTCGGCTCCCTCCCGCGGGCACGAGCCGCCCGCCCCCGCCTCGCCCCCTGCTCGGCTCCCTCCCGCGGGCACGAGCCGCCCGCCCGCTCCCGCCCCCTGCTCCCTCCCGCGGGCACGAGCCGCCCGCCCCCGCCTCGCCCCGTGCTC